TCTTGCCCACAGTAGTAGATATAATGGTCACCTGAATTAAATTCACCCATTCCTGTCCATTTTAATTCCCTGGTTCCCAAGATGTGAATGTTCAATCTTGTCATCTCATTTTTGACCACATCCAGCTTGCCTTGGTTCATAGATCTTACATTCCAAGTTCCTATACAATGTTGTTCTTTACAGCATCGGACCTTCTTTTCGCTTCCAGATACGAATTCCAGATATGCTATGTCATGGCTACCCCTAAAACATGCCGTTAGCAAAGATGCTATTAATAAATCTTCTATATGGCCTTGACTGTGTTTCTTATGGCAAGATCTTTGTCAGCAGTAAGTAGAAAATGTAGGGGGATGGGGTTGGAATTAAGCTATTTCTTTAGGATAAACCGTACAGGATATATATATACATTGTGTAAAAAAATGTATATTTACACATTGTGTAAAAATAGAGAAATCTCCACCCACTCCAAGAGGAAGGGTGAAAGTCATGTACAACCCTGTACATGGAAACATTACATAATATGTGTTTCACTGCTCTGAATGCTTAAGGGAAGGCAGACTGTATCTACCATTCTGATAGCGCTTATTTGTTCAGGGTAATAAGTCAGAATGCTTATTTTACAGCTGAATATTGTGAATCAGATTATATGGAAGGAGGTCATTACACTTTAATGTGGGAGTTTTTTCCATTTATTTTACTTTCCCCTATACAGACCTTTTTTCTGTCATAGCAGTGATATGGTGATTTTCAGTAAAGTCTACATATGTAAGATGCTACCAGTAACAGTCCTTCTTTCCACTTAGGTTTATTTGGTTTTTCATTCTGTTTGCACTAGATACCTTCAATCAAAAATTTGCTTACTGTAATTTGAAATAACTGCAACATTCACATACATGCAAAATAATTTAAATCAGCAGTATCATTTTAGATTCATACATTTTTAGCCTCTAACACTGTCCTTGGAGAAAGCATGGTTTCTGGAATTCTTCCCAGCCTTTTTTTTTTTTTGCAACAAATGGATGAAGTTCTTTATTGTACTTGAGAATGGAGAAATAATCTGGAAATAACATTGGAGTAAAATTTAAATAGCTAATCCTTTGCTATCTTTTTTATCTTCAATAAATTATTAAGAATTACATGTAACAAATAAAACTAATACAAAAATCTAATACAAAAATACATTGAGGAAAAAAAAGAAAGAAATATTTTAAAAGTGCAGAAAAAAATCCCCCCCCAAAAAAAAGGAGGAGGAGGAGGAGGAGGAATTAACAACTTATCATTGTCTCTTAAAATACAACCAAATACATCTTCATTCCATACCTCACCCCATTTTTTATAAACTCATCTCTAAATCTTCAGCTCTTCTTATTAATCAGCAAAGGTCCAGTAAAAGTTAACAGAAATTCCAAACAATGTAAGTATATAGTCTCTCTTTTCATTTAGTCAAAAAAACCCTAATCCCTCTCTATAATAATCAAAATCTAATCCCAATTAACAATTAAACATTACAAAAAATTAAAAATTATTAAACATCAGAAATAGTAATTCCTTATTTACATATCAAAAATAGTAGATATTGCAAATCCATTACAACCAGTTGAACATTTCCAAAAAGAACTGTCCAGTCAAAATAAACAGTAAACATCACCAAAGAGCAACTCATTATTTAACCATAATCAAATAAACCAATTTGGTTTTTTTTTTCTTGTTCCTCCCAGCAATCCTGAAGTCCCATAAATAAAGTTCTAACTTCTGCTTTCTCTTTTATCTTCGTCTCTTATCTCAAAATTCTTGTCATCTTTATCCAAGTCCATTTGTAATTTCTGTGTAGTAACTCCAGTAGATCTCTCATATTCCAAATTAAAAAGTAATCCACATCATTCTTTTTGATACCTTATTTGCATGTCTTTTTTACTTTTTAAATGATCCTCCAGTTCCATTTGTAAATCCAATTTTTCCATCTCTTGTAGGTTATAATTTTAAAGTCCACCTTAGTCCATTTCAGTTATCTTCAAAGGGACTTGTTCCTCTTCAGTAACAACTTTTGGTTCCAGTATAGAGTTAAATAACTCAAGCACTTCTTGGGCCACCATATCAAATGCTTCCTTTAATGTAGCCATCTGGTGCCCTCTAGTGATCAACCTTCATAGTCTTGTTATCAGCTTGGAATGTAAGCAAGAAGAATTATTCCCACACAAGAGGATCTTTCTATTTTACATCAAAGTCTTTCTTTAAATCAATTTCATCCAAACCCTTAGCATTTAAAAGCTTTCCAAAAACAACACTATAATCACCCTTTTGCTGCATATTGCAAAAAATAGAGAACTTACAAAGCTGGAAACATGTAATTTTCTTTCTTTTTAAATGGATTAAAGAGAGGCCCATCTAGCGAATACTAAACTTGCAGTTCCGAAGGTTTTTCAATCTTGAAAAAAAATAAAATTAAACTCCAGAGTGAATAAAAAGATGAGGGTTGAACCTTGAGTCCATAAAGGCTGCATTAACGGCTCAGAGCATGATGGAACCCATGACTCCCAGCTGATTGCAAGCGACTGCAAAAACATCCATTTCTGCTGTCTACTCACAAAAAACAGCTGTCCAGAGTACATATGGGTAATCTCAAGATCTCTTTGATCCAGAGAAAATTTTGGCAGTCCAGATCCTGCATCCAGCTACCTTTTTGGCTGTAATGTTCTCTGTAATCTGCAGAGCAGAGAAAATGTGGGGTGTTAGTTCACCATTCCTCATCAGAAGTCACAAATTCTTCCCAGCCTCTTGACAGTGCTGCTTTGGGTCACATGACTGCTTTGGGTCACATGACTAGCACATGACTAGTGCTGCTTTGGGTCACATGACAGTGCTGCTTTGGGTCACATGACAAGGACGAGGTAGGGGGTTTAGAATGGAGGAATTAGGGACATTATGAGCTATAGCCCATTTCTCCCATAGGCTTTCATTGAGGGATTTTTTTCCCCTATAATTTTAATCTCTGCAACCCAGAACTCATTTTACATTTCAGTCTTTCTTTTGCAGCTCCCCCACACCACCAAATATGGTCCTGTTTTGTTCAGTCTTTGGAGAGTTATCCTGCTGATGGACAGAGGGGCAGATAATTTTGAGCTCCTTCACATAATATTTTCAGCAGTCTGTTGGGATGGAAAGAATAAAAATGAACAAACATATTTTAGACATTAGACCATTGTACAGGCACATACTAATGTCTGTGCAGTGGTGTCAGCCTTTTTGAGGTGGTGATCCCCTTGGCCTTGAAGAAGGCAGTGGTGTGCCCTCTCCTGAAGAGGTCATCACTGGATCCAATGGTCCTGGACAATTATTGTCCATCCTCCAACTTTCCCTTTAGAGAAGGTAGTCAGGCTTCAGGTCTAAAAGTCCATGAAGGAAGTGGATTATCTGGACCCATTTTAGTGGGGTTTCAGGCTGTGGTTTAGTATGGAGATTGCATTGGTCACCCTCACTGATGACCTGTAGCAGAGCCAGGATGGGGTAGTGTGTCTATCCTGTTAGGATTTTCTCATGGGAAGAAATTCATCTCGTTATCTCCACAGAAATGTGTCTAGAGAGATCGTATGACTTATGTGTTAGCACGTATACTGCTATTTACTGCCATCTATTGGCGTGTGTATGCTAGTTACCCAGGGGGGGGGTATGGACTGGCAATATAATGGGAGGATTATATGCCAAGCCTCTCAGTAGAGTCTCAGTATAGTTTTAGCCACCATGTAGTTAAT